CCGCCGCCGCCGCCGCCCCCACGGCGTCAATTCCGCCGCCGCCACCCACGCTCCAAGCACTGGCCCCGAAACCAGCACCTGCAACCCGGCAACCACCCTCCGCTGCCCCTGCCGCCGAGGCTATCGTCGCCGGCTGGCCCACTGCCGTACACTCCCCAAAGTATTCTTTAGATGCTGGGTTTTGGTGGAGCGGTTTGCCGTCGGACGTGAACACGGTCAGAATGGCAGGGCTGACGGCGAACACCAATGACTCCAGGAGGGGTACGGCAGTGGCGGTGGCGGGGGCGGTGGCGGGGATTGGGGAGGGGCTTTGGCTGGGGCTGGGACAGGAGAGCAGTACGGCATGTACGGCGAAATCTGTGGATTGCGGCGCTACGGGTTCAAGAGGAGGTGTAGGTGGCAGGGGAGGTGGGAGTGGGGTTGGGAGTGCGGAGTGCCTGGAGCCGCGTTTGAAGAAGGTCAACGGGGCACTGCGGGCCTCCTTGGAGAACTGTGCGGGGGACGGGGGGGGGGGAAGAGAAATCGGGGAACGGGACCGGGGGAGGGGGGGGCAAGGATTGAAAACGGGGGATTGGGGGGTTTTAGAGGGCGTGATGAGAAGTCAATAACCGAATCAATAACCGCCCATTGGGGGGATGGGGGTCGTGATGAGAAGTCAATAACCGAATCAATAACCGCCTGGAGGATTATTCGGTGTATAGGAGCTCACAGGAAGACAGCGCCCGTGTGTGTGTCTGTGTCTGTGTGTGTGTATGTATGTTTGTGTGAGGGGGGTCCCCCCGGGGAAACCCGACAGGCGGATGGGGAGGCGCAAGGGTGGGGACAGGGAGGGAAGGGGACGGGGCGGAAGATGAGGATTAAATCCTATCCGTGTACGTGTACGTGTACGACATGCGAATCCCAGGCCACAGCTATAGCCTGATCCATGCTTGGCCTCGGCCGCTTTCATCTACATGTGCTGCAGCTGCTCCCACCCGGCCCGGCCTGACTCGCGGCTCGCGGCTCGCGGCTCGCTCCCGTCCCCTCCTCCTTCTTCCCGCGTCCCCCTGACGGCTACACCCACACACACACACCCGGCGTGAATGACTTGAGCTGTCCCTTCGTGAAGTTGGTCTACCCACATTGCGGGCGGGCGACTGCTGCGCGAGAACCCCCTGTGACTGAGACTGTGACTGAAGTGGGGCAGAGGCCTGGGTCCCTGGGGGAGGTGGTTGAGGCGCCGGACGGGCAGGACCCTGGAAAGGGGCTGGCCGACCGGTGTGGAGCCGGCCAGCTTGGTCAATGGCCAGCGCATCGGGCTCAGGGGTGGGACCTTGGCCGTCCATCCCAGCGGCAGGGCTCTTGTTGGAATTCATAGCGGCGTTGATGTTGCTGTTTGATTTGCCGGAATTGGCTGCTGGCGCTGTGAGCTCCTTTGGAATTGGGCCATCGGCTGCGGCAAGACCGAAGCAGGTGCCGAGCAGTCTGCATCTCATATCTGATACGCGTTTATTGATTAAAGGATGTTGTATTCAACCATATAAGGGTTCGCTGCAAAGTTGTGGTCGTGACGCCTCAGGGTGCTACCACGACGCGGCCTGCGCTTGATTCTTGCATGATGCCTGCATGCCTTATTTCATCAAATCATGCCACGAGATCGGGAATAAGCTGGTGAGAGCTTGACTTATGCTGGAAAGGTGGAATGCTACAACTCATTTTCATACCGTAATCAGGAAAACTGAAACCTTAACGGCGCTCAAAATTGTACAACATATCTTTTATGACGTATAAATGTAAGACCCCATAGCTCATATGTTAACGCTGTTGAACCCTTTCCCGTGAGCGAAGTACAAAAAACCGTGCGTGCCTGCAGTACTTTACGGTCCAAGTGATACATTGACGAGGAGGATCTCCCCCTGCGTATACATGTCCTAACCGCAAACAGCCTTTGGGCCATGCAAATGTGCGAGCTTTTGAGACCGCTGCATACGGTAGTACGGCTCGTTGACGAAACCAAGAAGGATGTGCCCTACCTCACAAAAGCGGATGGGTAGAAACAGTTTCGAATTATTTCTCCTACGATACGTCCAGATGCACAAAACATCGTGCACTAAAATTATCGGCGAAACCCGCTGATCGCTCTCACATAAGAGCGAGCTTAGTACATTGGCCCTTCAAAGTATTAAGTTTCCTCTTATAAATGAAGTTTGGTGAATGAAACGGTATTGTAATCTCTTTTTCCACTTCGTGGAGCTGAGTCACATCAAGTCCCTTTTAGAGGCGTTACCAGAGGTCGGCAAACCCTGAATAACTGTCACGGGTACTGGTGCCAGGGTCGAATAACTGTATGGAAATTTTTTTGGTAAAAGCCGAGGAAAGGTCGTCAATTGACTGTTCGTTATATGAGAACCTCTCAAAGCTAGCGTTTACCTCCTTGTAAAATGGAAGGTTTGGTAACCTAATGATGAAGTTTATAGCTTCAAAACTGCGCAAACCTGCCTTTTGGGGGAAATTTCTGCACCCTGCCGTACGGCTGCCGTACCAGCGATGAAGAACTTCTGCAACGGGTACAACGGAAGGACCCGCTGTACCAGCGGCGTTTGCCGACCCCTGGGCGTTACATCGAAATCCCACAATTTCCGAGGCTTACTGGGAATGAGAAATGAGCATGAAGATATCTGACGGCCGCCCGAAACCCTGAATCACAGAAAGGTAGCGAACACGGTGGCTTAACTCTTCGGGCATCGCAACCAAACACCCAACAACTTTCAAGCAGTCTGTCTAGATGAATTGCGAGGGTTGTCATGTTATGTTATGTAATGTTATGTTACAAGCTCGGAAGAGCTCGTAGAAAGGCTCAGACGAGCCAGGAAGCTGAGGGACCGCGAGACCAATCAGGAAAGGAACTACGGAAACAAGCGAAACCACCAACAAGGATTCTATTAGCCTATTAGCAGCTGACATAATGCATTACATCAGAAGGCGGTGATACATGTATAACCCTGAAAACCTTTTGAGCCCTCCGAGGAACCTGTGGCTTGCATTTCCTTGAGGCCTTTAAGGACAGCCTTTGGGGAGCCCTCGGGGGTAGGTAGCTTAATAACCCAAAGTTACTTTGGCCAAGTCAACGAAGCCGTTGGTTTCCCCCCTAGGGTGTCATTCACTTTAGGGAAGACCTGTGGGAGAACCTTGGGGAGGACCAGTTTTATAAATTTTAAAGCCTTTTCACCTCACCACAACACATTGACATGTGTGACTACTGGGTGGATGTGTTTGCGCGGCCACGTGACCATCCGCCATAGCGGTTGGGGGCAGTGTTTTCCCCCGCCGTCTGCAAACATCAAACAAGCCCTCTGCTGTCTGCACGCAGCCGCCTGCCATGCCCCGCTTTGTTTCATCATTTGCCACTCTGCCAGCCTTACGCTACCTGCTCGCCAAAAATTAGTGTCACGGCTGATAGTTTCCCAGTTTTTTCGTCGAGGCCATCAAGGCGTGTGTTTCCCAAAAAGAGGGCCTAATCCACCCAAGGGGTCACCGAAGGGTGCACCGTTGCTCTGACTGGTGGACTTTGCTGACGGCAAACGGCAAACCAACCCCCCGTGTGCCAGCGCCAGTGCCCGCCCTGTAACCCGGACTCCGATACATACATACATACATAACATACATACATACATACATACATACATACCAGGGTGGGGACTCCCCGGATAGCGGTTCCGTATGTCATGCCCAGCGGCACAGATAGGCACGATATGGGTTTGTACGGCAGTGCGGCCATCATCTCCCTCTGCTCCCCGCTGGGTCGCGGTCAGCTCTGAGGAGGGAACAAGTGTACAGCGCCGCCAACAGGGTACAACACCCATCCCACCCTGCCTTACCGCACGTTCCTGGCCCCCCGGCTGAGGCTCTTTGTGGGGCCAGGGATGTCTCCCTTCTCCCACTTCGAAACACACTCACGGCAGTCTGGGTGTGTGTGGCCGCTGCCGTTGGTAACAACGGTGCGGACCGCGGAGCCTCTTTGGTGCAGCAGCCGGGGTGCTGGGGGGGAGTGGGGAAGTGTTACCTCAAGAAGCATTGTGTGGAAGACGGCACCGCAGCACTGCGGCTTGGGACGCGGTAACGGCCCCCTCGATCAATACTGCCCGGTGCTCGTTGTGCACTTGTGGGCCCTTTCAAGAGCACTACGTCACTATATCACTATCGGCCATTAGTGCAACTTTCACAATGGGTTGGTGCTAATGCTGGGAGAGGGGGGGTTTCGCAGCCGGGTTGTGTGTGTTTTTTGCTACCAAGCTGCCAAGCTGGCGGCTGGCGGCTTAGCTACTGTAGCACGCGCAACACGGCAGGACTGCGCAATAAAAATATATGGGCAACGGCCCTACCAACCACCGTCTACCTGACCAACTGGCAACCAACACCAACGGAAACAAAATAACGGAAGACGGAGGAATTTCTAACACTACGTAGAGCCTAAGCCCCAGTCCCACATCACCACAACCTAGCTCGCACAGCGCGTATCTCCTACTCACATAAGCCAATGCACTGGGGCCTCTGAGGACAGTTTCAAAACGCAAAACGGTGACGTTCAGTCCGGAGGGAATTTGTGACATGACTCGAACTGTTCGTAACACGAAGACGGACATGGAGGCGCTGCTGTAACGTACCTTTGGGAATCTGAAATGTCTAACCGTCTTTGGAAAACTCTCCTGTTTAACATTCAAACAATTTAACGCACTGTTGGCAGCCTTCGGCTAATGCAAACGATATGGATAATGCTGTGCTGTGGTGTGGTGTGGTGTGCAGAAGCGCAGAGGCTCTATATGAGTCCGATCAATACCAACACCGCGCAGCGCCATTCCCCCCTGCCTTCCCCCCCCCCTTCCAGTGTCACTTCCACGCCCCCAATCCCAATCCCAACCCCAACCCCACCGCAGCGCACCTGAACTTTCCAATGCCCCTTTACATACATACATACATACGTAGGGGAAGTCATTCCCTTACGAAAGCCAAAGTAGGGGGATGGAGGGACGGATGAATAACAACAGCCGTACATACATACATACATAGCGGCATCAGCACGTGCGTGTGTATGTATGCGTGTGCACGTCCCAACCCGCCACCTCATATTCATGGGCTGCATCGGGTACTTCAGTACTTTTCCAAGTCTTCCAACTCCTATGCCACGCAACAACTGAAAGCCGTTCAAACAGTTAACCGACTATAACGAACCCCAACCACGGTGTAACGGAAAAGACCTGAAACCAAAGAATGCTCGTCAAAAGAGTCAAAACCGAAGATGTAAAAGACGGTGCGCCAATGTTGAAGTTTGAGCTCCATGGCCCCTTCCCCCCTCGCCTCTTCGCAGACGACATGTCGGAGGAGCAGCACCGGCGGCGGCGGCGCCACTACTGCCGTTACCCCCCCCCCGCTCTTTTCACAGCCGCCGGCTTCGATGCCACCGTTGCACATCGCGGACCAGGTAGATGCCGTACGGAACCAGACGCGTCAACACCGCCACCACCACAAGCACCGCCTGTGCGCCGGGTCATGGGGGTACGGCAGGTACGGCAGGCACGTGTACGGGTCACGGAATAGAAAGAGACGGGACATATACCGCGACAACGTGATCGCGCCGTACCAAGCATGCCAATGCCGTGAGTGTGTTTTATTTTTAGTCAAATTAGACATGAAAGCAAACGGGGCGCAAACGCAAACACAGAACGTCGATAGGTGACTAGATGAAGAAGATATCGGTGTGTGGCCTCAACAAACACACGCAACACGCAACACAAAAACCCACACGTACACGCGAGTACCGTGCCGTACCGTGTACGACTGCTGCTGCGGCGGCAATGGCAGACCCAACCCCAGCCAAACGGCGACCATAGCCAGCGGCACCGCCACCACCGCCACCCCCATGAACAGCGATCGCTCGCTCGGAGTGGAAAAGCCCCGCGGCGCCGCCACCGCCGCTGCTGCTGCTGCGTGACCGCCGCCAGCTGCTGCGGCAGCGGCGGCCCCGCCGCCGCCGCCGCGCAGCAGCAACGCGGAGTGGGCGCGGCCTGGGAAGAGCAGACCGCCGGCGGCGGCGGCGGTGGTGAAGGCGGCGGCGGCGGCGCCAGGCAGGGCTTCCACCTTCAGCGGTCTGGGCAGGATCACCTCCACCCCGCGGGCTTGCAGTCGCCGCAGCACTCGGGAGCCAGCGGCCCCCACCACCGGATGACGTTGCAGTACAAGGCTTCGGAGCGCAGTCAGTTTAAGCAGCTCTTCAGGAAGATCACCCTGTAAGACGTAATGCGTGGAAAGTATGTATTCCATATATATTTCAAGCCGCAAACATATAATAATACTACACAATAAAAGAAATAAAAATTGTGATTGATTGAACGGAAAGATAGAAACTTTTCGTCTGAATTTGTTCTGATGAAAACCGTTCCAATGGAACGAATCTAATGGCAATGGCAATGGCGCGAGGGGAGATAAGGCCCAGCACAGTACGGAAGCCCGCGGGGAGTTCAGCGAGGGAAGGTAGGTGGGAAAGAAGGTGTGGCGGGCGGACAAAACACAGTTTACACGATCGCTGCTGACGGAGCTTGCGGCGGCAGCATGGAGGGGAGAGGGCGGGAGGGCCGGGGCTAAACCTTCCCTAGTCTAAGGACCGTAGGACTCACCTGCAGAGGGCCGTACAGGCAGTGCGGCGGCTGGACCTCCTACAGGGTTGGGGTAGGGGTGGGGGTAGGGGTGGGGGCAAATGAGGATGATTTTTGGGTTAAGAGTGTGTGAGGGTTGCGTATGGAAGCGGGGGTCAGTGAGGTGGGGGGGGTTGTGCCCAGTCCCCCTCGCACCCCGTTCAGGTTCCGGTGCTATCCCTTAGTGTCACGAGAGGTTGGTGAGGGTGGTGAGGGTGGTGAGGGTGGTGAGGGTGGTGAGGGTGGTGAGGGTGGTGAGGGTGCTGCGAGGCGGCGCGCTGGTCGACTGTTCAGAGTATGAGCGCAAGTGCACACCACCACACCACACACCACCCAGGCCGGCCACTTCGGTTGCGAGACGCCGTACATAAGTACGAAGCGGAAAAGGGAGGCAGGGTCCTTGGCCTCCCTCCCTCGCTCGCCTCTCCCCCGCCCCCAGTCTCACTTTCACCCTCACCGCAGCCACCCCTCTGCCAACGTACCAGTCGGGGCGGTATGTACGGCACCGGGCTCTCCCGTACAACCACCGAGTACTGCTGCGACACGTCGAGGTGACGAAGGCCCACCAGCCCCAGGTGCCCGGGGGGGAGAGGACCCTGCTCCTCCGGGGGCGGGGCGTGTTGGTGGTGCTGGTGCTGGTGTTGGTGTTGGAGGTGCTGGTGTTGGTCGTATTCAGGATGTTGTATTTGATGGTGGTGTTGATGGTGGTGGTGGTTACTGTTGAGTGGCGGTTGGTGACCGGGGGGTTGCGGCTGTAGGTAGGTGCTTGGTTTCGGGGGAAGACATGAAAGTGCGGAGGAGGTGGAGCAGGGGGGAGGGGATGGTGGAGAGGTAGGGGGTGATGATGTTACCGGGGGGCGGTGGTTACTGACATTGGAGCGGTTCGCCTGCTGCTGTTGGCCGTTACTGTAACCGTTGGCATAACCGTTGCCGCTGCAACGACGGCAATGGGAGTAGGTGGTGTGGTCATTGGAATGACCGTTGGGAAGTTGGTTTACGGCGGCGTGACCGTTGGTGTGGTCGTTAGGATGACCGTTAATGTTGCAATCGCCGCCGATCCAGGACGGCAGCTCGGACAGTCGGTTGCAGGACAGATCCAGAGCTTCGAGGGAGGACAGCCAACGAAGGCAAACAGGAACCTGTATGGAATATACGGCATTATGTACGGCATTTGGTACGAAACGTACGACAACTTTCAACCCAAGTACATTTTGGCGACAAGAAGGTTCTGGTTTGCGTCACTGCAAAGCGAGACCGGAGTCTTGTAATCTCGATTTTGTGTATATTTTTGCTTCCGATAAACTGAATGAACGAATGTATTTCACCATACCGACCGCAAAAATCAGCAGCGCCCTGTACGGGATAAGGCACAGAAAGGCGTAGCCGCTCTTTATCTACATGTAACGGAGCCTTTGTTTTGCTTTACAAGTTGCGACTGTTATTTCGGTTAAACTTTGGCATGTCCCAAAGCTGGATGCTTGCGACAGCCTATCCCGTACAGCCTTGCCGTACAGTACGGACAATACCGTACCTCCGTAAAGCGGTTGGCGCGCAGGCTGAGTAATGTCAGGTGACTCAGATGTGCCAAGCCTAGCGGAAGTTCCTGCAATTCGGTTGGTAAATAAGTTAGTTGGTAGTTTGTCGTTGGTACATCAGGGCAACAGTGCCCTGCACAAGGTGTGGCACGGCAGGTATGTCATTGGTCCGATTGATAAGAATCAACCGCATTAAAACTAACCAACCGCCGACTGCCGTACCTCAAGTCCATTATCCGCGAGCCATAATTGCCTCAGTCCCCGCAGCTCCGATAGCGGTACGATGGCATGCTGGTCGAGGTGATTGGACGAGAGATCCAACTGTCGTACAGCAGGATGGAAGCCACAGCAGCACAGGGGAAGGGGAGGATGATAATTGGTCCCAATATGCCGTACTGATGCCTCTCTCTTCACATGCTCACATTCGGAAAGCACAACTAGTGCAGCTATCCTCCCAAATCCAATCCCTCTCCCTTTCCGTACAGAATTGTACGAGAGCCTGTACGAACATACTCCCACACGGTCCTTCCAGCTCAGCTAGAACACATTTCCCCCCCCCATACACACCCATACACATACACACACCCCTCAGGTCCACAAGAGCCACACGGCCCGGCCCCCATCAACCCATACGACACGCCCATATGCCCCACAATACAACACCCCTCCCCCCACCATAAAAACACCCACACGCCCCCTCAGTCCCCCATTTCCCCTCCTCTCCCCCCCACCGCATACACACGCACACACGCACCTCCCTCAGTGGCGTCAAACCCGCCAGCAGCGCCATCGCCCTTGCCGTACCCGGCCCATCCAATCCCGCCAGGCTCTCCCGCAGACGCAGGGACCGCAGCACGCACAGCAACGGTAAACCGCCCGGCAAACCGAACAAACGGTTGTGAGATAAGTCCAGGGAAACCAGAGAAAGGGGCTGCGACGTCGCGGCGGCGGCGGCGGCGCCGCCGGCGGAATGGGCGGGGGAGGCGGCGGCGGCAGGCGAAGCGGAGCCGGAGGAGGGCGGGAGGTTGATGCCCGCGGCAGAGGCTGCAGCGAGTCGGCGGTCGCGGGGCAGAACGCACTCCACTGGCCTGTGGGTGACGCGGGGTAGGTAGGTAAGGTAGGTAAGGTAGGGCGGGAAGGTAGGTAAGGTAGGTAGGTAAGGTAGGGCGGGAAGGAGGGTGTGTATGGGGTTGAAGAAAAGAAGTTGCCAAACTTCAAGCTTCGTGTACCACCATCGGCACTTCCCTTACCGCAGCCCAGATCACTGAAACACACACACATACACACACGCACGCACGCGCGCACACACATACACAACCTGGCCCGCTCCCCCCCCTCGACCTCATTGCGGGAATCCCCCCTTCTTCCCTTCCCCCCCAGGTCCCCCCCAGGCCCCGGGGCATCTTCCCCACCACAAACCCCCAAATGTCACATACACACATCTCACCACCAGCTAATGCGGTTGTGTCCTAGGGCCAAGTACGACAACCGGGTTAGGTCGTACAGCAGAGAGGGGAAACGCTCCAAGCAGTTGTGGTGACACGACAGTGACTCCAGGGACTGCGACAGGGCAACCCGGGGGTCAAAGGGGGAGGGTGGGGGGGAGGGTATTGCGGCGGTGCGGGGTGGGTATTCGAGTAAACTGGAACGTTGAAGGTATTCGAGTAAGCAGGTAAGGTTGAGGACGATTGTACGGCACAGCACGCAAGTCGCAGCTCCAAAGGCAAACAGCTCCAAATGCAGACCAAGCGCCTCCATACTCGAGTGAAGAGTAAGGAAAATGGTAGGAGATCTGTTTAGCTATTCTAAAAGGGGAATTTTTTAAGGAAACAGCTAAGTCAATTCGAGCGTTGTGCTTTCTGTTGGCAAAGCAGGCCAATTCGCGGCGGTGCTGTGGATCATTGATTTTCTCGGCGCAATAAGCAACGGAACCCGATGCCGACTCAACACAACACTACACAACTCGTCCAAAGCATCAACCGAGAGGGCGGCCACCCCCTCCCCAGTGGGGGGGGCTGAGCGTTACGGCGGCGGCGGTGGCGGTGGCGGTGGCGGAGGAGCATGGAGAGAGGAGTCAGGGACCCACTACCGCCCGCCCATGAAGTCAGGCAGGTGAGGCAGGTATACCTGTGTATATGTGTATTCCCACCGGCACACTCATTCCCTTTCTCCCTCCCCTCCCCTCCCCTGCCTACCCCCCCCCTCGCACCTGCAAATGCCCCAGCCAGGCCGGTAGCGACACCAGCTCGTTGTGGGACACGTCAAGTCGCGACAGCAGGGGCAGGGAGGCGAGACCTGCGGGGGGGCGGGGTCAAGGGGGGGGAGGTCCACAAGGCGGGGGGGGGCGGGGGTGAAGGGGGGGGGGGTCCACAAGGCGGGGGGGGGCGGGGGTGAAAGGGGGGGGGGTCCACAAGGCGGGGGGGGGCGGGGTGAAGGGGGTGTGGCAGTCAAGGGGGACAGCTGGGGGGCACCAACACCCCCCAGGGGAAGGGGAGGATGATAATCGAATTGATGATGATGATGATAACGATCATGATATGTAATGGTGGTAGTGATGAAGATCACATTAGTGATAACTATGACATGATGATGATAATGATGATGATGATAACACAAAGGCGGGTAGGTGAAGGGGGGAAAAGCTGGTTGACTGAAAAAAATCTCCCGGAAGGAAGCTGGTTGACTGAATTGAATTTCTGTATCCATAAAATCCGAAAAGAGGGGAGAAATAAAAACCTGCTGTTGCGTGTTCGGTTGACAGTCCTACCGACCCTCACCGGGGTTACGTCATTTCCCGGGTGGTCCCCGAGGTGGTGCCGTGACCCCTGGGGGGGGGGCGGTGTTGTATCACGTCTTATCGCAGGAAAAGAACCGATCGGCGGATGTCAATCCCGTGATACCCAGGATATTACAGGCGGTCGGAGCGGCCGCACACGCGCACCTTGCGGCAGGTCGTCGATGCCGTTGCCCGACAGATCCAGCGCCGTCAGCGCCGCCAAACCGCCGATGTCCCGATTAGGCAACGTCCTCAGAAAGGACCCAGACAGGCTTAATGAGGCAAGCTGCGGCAGACACAGCAGGAAGGCGAGGGGCCGGCCGGAAGCCGCGGCGGCAGCGGCAGCGGCGGCCCCCTCCTCAAACCCGTCGACGACGCCGCCCAAGGCCCCAAACATGTCGTACGGGTACGGGTGTTGGTGCTGGGCAGCATTGCCGCCGTTGGCGAATACGTCATTTGGACCGTTGGCGGCGGCGGCGGCGGCAATGTCGTACTGTTGCAGGTCGTTGCTGCTGTCGAATCCGGCCCGTCGGTGGTGGTAGCCGGCGGCGGCGGCCCAGGCGTAGTCCATACCAGCCAGGGTGAGGTGCTGGTGGATCCAGAAAACGAAATCCAGATCCAAAAAAGAAGCCAAGTAAGGCAACCAATCCAACCGACCAGCCAGACAACTATTTGATTGAAGTATAGACATGTACAACACTTCTACAACTTGTTTAAAAGAAATTCTCCTCACTCCTGAATGATCGCACTAGAACATATATCATGATCCTTCTCCGTAACGCGCAACCCCAGCATGTTACTTTTAAATCGCGGTTAATCACCCACAAGCTGTGCCGTACACACCGAGTGCCGTACGTCGTACCCACCCGTACTCCCTGCAGATGGCGCAGCAGCGGCACCAGCGTATCGGCCCCCGTACATCCGTCCACATACAGCGTCTGCAGCCAAATCGAATTCCGTTTTTTGCGGGTCGCCACCATAGGAAGAGATGTTGACATCATACCAGGCGCGAAGAGGCAGGAAGAGATAGAGCGCAGTGACGGTATACGGCACAGCGTGGTGATAGCAAGCCGATCATTTTCTACAAAAGGTAACCACGGTGACTCGCCATGTGTGTATGTGTGTTTATTGCGCCCGCTGTTGTGCTGTCGTACTGTCGTACGTAAGAACACAACCCTTTTCCCTCCTGTAGTAGCGGGCGTACGGACGGCGAGGCAGTCCGTACGCCCGCACCTTAACCCGGAAATCCCACCCAACCACCGTGCACCAATCATACATATGTACATACATACATACATACATACATACATACACATATTTCGGGAAAATCGTTCCTTTCCCAAGGCATCTACCACTTACCTCTAGCATAGCCAGCTGTGCCAGGGCCTCCGGGTCGCCCACCCCCGTCAGATTTACACCGCTGCCTTTGAGGACGATACGACGGAGGCCGCCACCGCCACTGCCGCCGCCGCTGCGCGAGAAAGGAGTCGCGGCGGCGGTGGGGGGTCCACTGGCGGGAGCGGCGGCCGCGGAGGCCGCGTTTACAGCGCGTCGTACGGCGGACAGCACGTCGGGCACCGACACCGCAATATTGGCTAGCTCCAGGGAGGTCAGCGAGCTCAAGCGGGAGAGCAGCGGAAGCAAACCAGCAGGCGGAACGTGCTGCGCAGCTGGGGCAGAGCCGCTGCCGCCGACAGCGGCCGCGCCGCTGACGGCAGCTGCTGCCGCCGCGGCCGCTGCTGCGGCGGCGGCACCTCTGGAGCCTGCACTGCCGGCCCCACCGCCGCCGCCGCCAAGGAGGGAGGTCCCAGCCGCAACAGCAGCGCCGCCGCCGCCGCCGCCACCGGCACCGTCCGCATACGGTTCATCACCATCATCACTCACAGCAGCGTGGCCCTGCGACTGCCCCTGCGACTGCACGGCATCCACGACTAACGAAAGCGCTTGCAGGCCGCTGAGCGCCTGGAGAGTGGCGGGTAGCCGTACGGCAGAGGCCGATGCGAACTCCAGGGAGAGGCGAGTTAAATGGACGAGCGCTGGGAGTTGGCCGATGGCCCAGGAAAGGGCACTACTGCTAGAGGTGACGGCGCTTCCTAGGGAGAGGGACTGCAGGAGGGGGAAACGGCGCAGCAGCTGCAATGCGCAGCGGCCTGGCCCGAGGCTGCGCAGCGCGAGCCGTCGGACGGTCAAACCATCAATTGCAGTCCGCCAGTGCCGGCACACGAGACGTGCGGCGCCACGATCTCGCACTCCCACGTCCGCACGGGAGAAGACAGCTGCCAAGACATCCAGAGGCACTTCCAGCGATGTTGCGCTGCATGTGCCGTTGGTTACTGACGGCGAGGTTTCGGCAGCGGAGTTGGAGCATAGCATGAAGTTTTTCATGTGCGTAATGTTGTATGCCTACTCTAAGATGCCCAAAGCCGGAAGCAATGCCGTTAACGATTCGGGCCTAGGACGAAGAGGTGGAGATCATAATATGCAAGGCAGAAGGGCAGCGTATTAAAAACTGGCAATCCTGTCGTGCGTAATGCACAAGTTCAAGGTGCGGGTAACCTGGGAGCTGACCATTGGGGCCCTTGTAGCAGCTAGAAGATAACATATGGAAAGCTTTTTACCCATTCTTTTGCGTTATCGTGTCTGAGTATGTGGGGTATGAGGGCAAGATTTGCGATTTCTTGCGACTTGCGACTTTGCGAGTTGCAAGCCGTACGCAGGTGTACACTTCGGCTCGGATCACGCAATTTGTTTTGCAACCAGCCATAATTGCAAGTTGTGTTATCACGATGCCCGAATGGTCGGATGCAAGCAGTCTCAGATGCTATCGGGGTACCACGGGTTTGAATGTAAGTCCTTACTCGAGTTCTTGCTTGCTCGATTGGGGCCAAGGTAGCGGCAAGGTATCCCGCCATGGTATGTGGCGGTGCCGTTTGTTTTCCATCTTCTTATTTTATGTATTTGTGCAGACATAGCTCGCAAAGCACTGCGGCACCGTGTTTTCAGGCTAGCCATCTTTGTTGTAGGACTTGAAAGGTCGCTCTGCTGCAGCATCCGGCAGCACCAATACAACTCTGAAACCTGCTTTTAGGAATACTATGCTGCCCGGACACTGTCGTAATACTCGTTTTGGCGGATGTTTTACTCCAGTTACCTCTAATTAGTTGCTGTATTTGTTGTGCTCAATTTACTTTCGTGTGCAGGCTAGCGTACCAGGCACATCGCGTTCTGGATGCCCGAAGATGCCAGGTGGCCCCGAGCCTGGCGCCGCTCAACCAGTGCACCGATCGTTCGAAACGCTTCATGACACAATTGGAATAATAAGCGGTTTTATCTTTTGCTTCATCTCAGCTGTACAGCTTTTGGGGTACCTCTGCAGCGGACAAGACCTTGGCGCACTTCCCCATCCTCTTCCCTCGCGGTTGTACCCTTGCGAGAGCTCCGCGCTCGCCCGCTGCTATTATTTATTCAAGTATTCGCCCTGGATAATGAAGACCGTGCTGAGCATACGCGGGCAGGACGTTTGGCTGGCGGCAATCCTAACCTTCTGGCTTCTGCGAGTGGCAAGTCGCATCTGTCTTCCACAGCGCATGTATACCCAGTTTGCAGCTCCATTTCTCACGTTTGCGGCGCGGGCGGCGCCGGTGGTGCTCTTGCTGGCGGCAGGACGCAGGTCGCCGTTGAGCTCCGCCGCGTCCCAATTTATACTGAGGAGCCAGGGCCTCTTTGACGCAATCGTTTCCTTAACACAGCCGGTGCGTAAAAAGGCGACCGGGAAGTCGGCCCCATCAAGTTTCGCTGTAGGCCACAATTTGACAGTTCGAAAGTCTTTTTTGTAGCAAGGAGACCTGAGTTTTTCCCGCACTCCCGCGCTCACCCGCTGGCAATGGCCCGGTCCCTCGCTTTTCCCCACACCTGTTCGCCACCTTACGGCTTGCTGCGCTGCCATGCTGTGCTGCAATGCGTCCGCTGTCCATTGAATTTCAACCTCCTATCTTTCAGCACAGAGTCGAACGCTGTGCAGCGCGACCGAAACAGACCCTTCCCCATTTCTCAAGGTGCTTCCCTCCCAACACCCGCACTCCCTTTTTCCTCATCCGCCGTCAACCTACGCTCATGCCGCCGCATCTTCCAAACGAAGCCGCTTGGCAGCGCGCCGTTCGTCTCCCTTCCCCCCTTTCCCCGGGGTTTTCCACACATTCCCTCCACAGCCCCTCCAAAATAGCTACTTCAATCGGCAGCAGTTCGGCAGCCCCCACAACCCCTCCCACATAAGCCGACCAAAAACTCCTGTTCCTGACTACTGATAACATTCATTGCTTCATCGGGAGTTCTAGCAGTTTGTCTCTCACATCATGGGGTGATCTCCCGCCCAGTCGCGGCATGAGTCGCTCTGCTTGGTTTGGGGTACATGGCATGTAGGGCATGCACGCGTAAAGGTCTACACGTAATGTCATGTTCGCAACCCAAGCAGTCCCACGTTGACTCCAGTGGTCTTTTATCTTGAGGCTTTGCATGCTGCTGTGTCACCCACCTCGCCAGGGTGGCGCCATCCCTTAATATGGGCACTCCTTCAATCGGCGTCGCTGCTTTCACCCTCTTGCTATTGATGACGCATGCAAAAGCTACAACAACTTAATTCACAGCACAGCATGCCATCGGACTCCGCTTTATTGGTCTCCCGCATTTTCATCTCCTCTCCTCTGCTAATGCATTTGTGCAGTTCGTGGTGATGTTTTCTCAGCTATTTTTTTGTATTTTCGCATTTCTGGCATTTATGTTTTCGCCTTCGCCACTCCAGGCTGTGTATGTTCATGCGGAGCTCCTCTTCAATGTCTTCAACATCGCGGCAGTGGGCGTACTCGCCTCGTGGCATGGCCGCGGCGGCGGTGGCGGCAGTGACGCCGTCGCCTCTCGTGTCTTCGTGGCTCAGGTTGTTCTCCAGCGGGCTGCTCTCATGGTTGCCGTACACTGGCTGGCGGGACGCTTCCTCCATCGCCGCCCCTCCCGCAGCGGCGGAGCTGCCTCCGCTGGGGGTGCTGACGCTGTTGGTGCTACAGGCGGACCGGTGGCAGCGGCGGCGGCGGCGGCTGCAGCTAGCGGCGACGGCCGCGACCCGCTGCAGCCTCCGGCACCGCCACCGTCCGCCGTACAACCTACACAGCAGCCTGCGCATGTTCAACAGCTACTGCTGCAGCACCACAACAACAACACCCGGCAGGAGATGGAGCAAGAGAGGGAGAGGAAGATTTCGGAGGCGGGGGAAGGAGATGGAGGGAGCGCTGGCAAGCCGGACGGCACGGATCCGAGGTTTTTTGGGGTGGAGGGCGCAGAAGCGGAGGAGGGGGGGCCCACAGGCGACGGGGAGCCATGCGACATTGGATTGGATGGTTGCAGCAGTGACTGTCGCAGTGGCTTCCGGGCGAGGGGCTCACAACCTCCAGCAGTCGAAGCAGCAGCAGCTGCAGCCGCCAGGGCAGTAGCTGCCTCTGAGGCTGCAGGAGGAGCAGTGGCGGAGGTGGAGGCGAATGGGGGGATGAAGAATGCTGCTGCTGCCGTCGCCGCCGTGGCTAGGGCAGTTTTTGATGGCAACGTGTATCCGACGATGCAAGGCAATGAGCTGCATGGTGCCCCTTGCTTGCTGCCGTACAAATCACCCATCCGTCGCCGTACAGCGCGCATTAAGATTCCGTTCGCTGAGCCGGATCAGATTTCCCCCGGCTACGTGGAGCGGCTTCAGGAGCTGGTTGCGCAGCGAGGGATGCACCTGTCGGGTGTGTACGTTCGCCCAGGTGCGTTTTGGGGGGGTGGGGTTGGGGTGGGGTGGGTTTGCAAAGTGGGGTCGGGGGGGTGTTGCTAAGTAGAGCCATGGTGGGCCCCGCAGCGGAGGGCGGGCAGGCGGCAGTGGTGGTTACAAGGCTTTTAGACACACAGACATACATATGGTTACACACGCAATGTGGGATGAGCGGGGTTGTAGGGGAGGAGGTGGTGGGTGCATGTATATATGTCTGCTTGTGTGTATGATTGTGTGAGCCACCACCAGCATCATCCGGTAGAATGCCCCTAGCTGCCAGGTCAACGGCGTCTTTAACTCCAATACTCCAATACTCCACTATTGGCGGTCAGCTCGCCCCACTAAAATAACCCGTCAGTCCATCCCATCGTCCTAAGTTGCACATCGCGGTGCATCCATCTCATTACGGTCTAGGGATGTATTTACCTTGCGGGCTGTAGGGATCGAACCTGGAACTTTCCAGCGACACTAAGCTGCCCCTGGTTAGCATATCAGCTGAGTCTGGAGCCGTATATCTGTGGCCGTATGTGCAGGCTGCATAGAGCTGTTGCTAGATCTGGAGGTGGAAGCCGAGCGGCTGTATGACTATGGTACAGCGTACGGCGCAGCGGTTGGTAACGCTTTGCAAGAGAAGGATTGTGGGAGCTGGCGGCGCCTGCCGGCGTCATCCCCCGGCGGCGCCGGTGGCAATAGTACGGCCGGTACGACCGCCGTTGACGACGAGCTAGGCGTGGAGGGATTGATTGCTGACCTGTCATCGGACATGGGCAGTATACTGCAGGCGCTTGGCCTTTCCGCTCCGTTACAGTTGGACGAGCAGGCTCAGTTATCAACGGTCGCCGTGTCGGCCGTACCACTGGGCCACCTGGCGGGACCTGTACGGCACGGCGGCGCACCGCGTCCGCGTCCGCGGATCCACATTGCGATGTCGCCGCGGGTAATGCTAATGCTGTCGCCGTCACCAGGGCCGGCGGCGGCAGTGGCGGTGCTTTCTGTAATGGTGTCGTACGCGGAATACGATGCTGTTCCTGCCGCCGCCGCCGCCAGCATCCCGGATTCATCAGCGCCAGCCGCAGAGGCTCCGCCGTCGGCGCCGCCGCCGCCGCCGCCGTTACCGGAGGTGCTCGTCAGATGCCAGGGGACGTACTTGCAATCGAAGGTGAACCATTGCAGCGGCGGCGGCACGGCCGACGCCGCCGCCGCCTCCGGTACGGTGTCGTACAACGTAGAGCTCTTAGAATTGCCGTCACGGGGACCAGGGCTCTTACTGGTCGAGTTGCGGTGGGGTGCCGTACTGGAGCCCGCGGTGCCCGTGCTCGTCCTGGACGACGCCGCAGTAGCATCCGAGCTGCAATTGGCCGTTGAACAAATTTCGCGGCATACCGCCGGTGGCGGCGACGACAACGGCGGCGGCGAAGGCAGTACGGCATCAGCTGTCAATGATGTCGATGATCTCCTATTGGATCTTGGCGCCTGGCTGGCTCACGTTTCGGCTGATTCCTCTACTGAAGCGGCGGCGGAGCCGATGCCGTACATGCCGTACAATGCCGCCGTCACCCTGGCGACGCACCTCCTCCGCCACGCCGAGGCCTGTGGCTGGACCGCCACTGCCACCTGGCTCCGGAGGGATCTCGGGACGCTGCAGGCCAAGAAGAACAACGGCAGTAGCAGTAGCGGCAAAGGGAGTAGCAGCAACTCCCAAAAAATTGTCCCAGCAGCAGTATCTGGCAAAGCTGGCGGCTCCGCCGCCGCCGCCGCCGCCGCCGCCGGCGTTCGACCGCCGCTGGCTCCCCTTCGTCCCGTGTTTCTCAGTGCACTGTTTCAGGCTTTGGGCTTGTGTATCTTGCCACCGAAGGAGGAAGCCGCCTACCAGGCGTATGCGGCACCTAGGGTATTGTCGTACTGCCACGTCATGTGGGTCGGGTTGGCTTGGGTTGAGTCGGGGTTCCGGGAGTCAGGCGAGGGGGTGCGGGCGGGTTTCGTGCCGTTGGCGGGACCCTGGTTACGGGGGTTCCTGCAGCGAGGGTGGGTAAATACACGCGAGTGGCAGTATGCCTCCCTGCCACCGCCTCCCAGTGCCGCTGAGTCAACAAACGCTCCCTCGGGTTTTCAAAACACACACACACACACCTATATACACACACACCCCTATGTACACATACACAAATGCACATATACACATATACTTGTATATGCACGCTCCTTCTTGCAGCCAAGCTGTGGAGGTGTGTTCGCTGCTGGCCCTGCTGTTCCGGGCCCGGCAGCAGCTCCTGGATGCGGGCAACCTCACCTCCCTGGCGGGCTGCGCGGTGGGCACGGTGACGGCGGCGGCCTGGCCGCTACTGCCCCGGAGGGGGTGGGAGGCGCTGGTGGAGGCGGCCAAGGTAGCGGGGAGGGGAGAGGGGAGGGGGCGAAGTCATGTATTATATCTATAAGTATTGCATACATACAGACACATGAATCCCACGTCCTCCCCCCCCCCAGCAGCTTCACTCGCTCGTGGTTCGTCTTTCCCCCCCCCTCCCCCCCAGGTTCCCCGCTACCTGGCCTACATGACTGCCAAGCTAATGATTGGGTGGCTGGGTTTCCCCGCGCCCCCGGGCATTGTGCCGTACCAATTGGGGTCGGCCATGCTGGTGATGGAGGGAGTGCTGCTGCCCTTCTCGTGCCTGGTGGGTGAGAGGGGGGGGAGGGGGGTGAGAAGGGGCGGCATCTGTGTTTTGTGGGCGGGTGGAAGGGATGTGTGAAAAATGGGGGCGTGGGGTTTATTTGGGGCATGGGAGAGGGAAGCCAGGTAGGCAGTGACGGAGAAGGGGGAGAGGCACGAAACACAACGTGTGGGTGCGGTTTTTCATGCGCACGCACACGACAGCAGAGATGATTGACAGAGGCCATGTTTGGATCGCCCACCACACATTTCCCCCCTTACATACACACACATACATACACACGCACACAAAACACAACGTTGGAAATGGAAATCGCTAATGTGAGTTGTGATGGTGTGGTGTGTGTGGACGCAGCTCTCCCCCCGAGCCGCTCTGGTCTTGGCTCTGCTCAAATTTCCATTTGGTGTCGCCATGATGCTTCGCTCCGGAGCCACCTCGGATCCCGTACGAGCTGCCGTACTTTGTTGCCGTGTCGTACTTGCGGCCGTCGCAACCACCGTTGCATGCCATACCTATCTACGAGCAAGCTACGCGGCTTGGGTGGCTGCGCCAGCAGCGGCGGCGGCAGCCGGCGGCGGTCCCTCCACTTCCGCTGCGGCTGCTGCTGCCGATTCCGTTGGCCCCTTTACTAAACAGCCGTCGACTGGTTTTGCCAGGGAAGGAGTACGGCAGCGGCTGTGGGCGCGGAAGTAGTAGTGGTGGTGATGGTGATTGATATGTGAAGGTGTAAGGGCGAAGGAGGTGAGGGGATGTTGCGTGGTGGTTCGGGTCTAGAAGGATGAAGGGCGCTCAAGGGCGTCGACTCCGTGCGCTCGGAACTGACCGACAGCCGGCATCGTTACCTGATCGAGTCGTTGCAGTAGTTATGGTTGGTTGGTAGCATCAGTAGGCAGCAGCAGCAGCAGCAGCAGCAGCAGGGGCTTGGTAAGGGATGTGCTGGCGTGGACAGGCTCACTGTTATTTGCTACGGCATGCCGTACACCGTACATACGGTATACGGTTGGCTTTGCATACATAGGAACGCGAGCTCTCGATGCGCGCATGGTGAGTTGTATGAAAGGAGCCAAGGAGCCAACTGCAGTTTGTAGTGATAATAACAATTTTCAATGCTGTCCATGTGGGGTTTCTTTGATCTTTTAGCACACATTCCGTGTGCCGTGCGGCCGGGGCCGGGAGGCTTACCCGCCGTGCCACTGCTGGCTGGGGGCAGTTTGGGGCCACGTTGCTAGTTGCGTTGACTTGGTCTTTAGTTTTGTGAAGGATTAGTTATTTCGTCCGCAAAGGGTTTGCGAGTTGCGAGGTGTGTGCGGTGCGAGGTCTTGTGCAGTTGTGGCGATGGCGGCGGCTGTGTGGCTGATGAGAATTTGGACATTGCTCAACGCATGTTGGTGTCTGTGGGGTACCTTTCTGGCTGATTGTGAGTGGGTCGGTATGTCTGCCTGCATGTCGGTATGTCTGTCTGTTTGTCGGTATGTCTTGGTAGTCCTGTGGCGAGCGAACATATTGGTCACCTCAAGCGCCTACTTGCCACATTGCTTGTGGTTGTGTTTTGTCGAAATGGCCATGGCTCTCGCAGCACGAGATAATTCGTAATGTGTTCTGTAATGGTTGTGGCCCACCACGAAATGACGTGTGCGGTACGGCAGTACGGCGCAATGCGCCATGGAATGGGCATTTATGGAAACGTGTCTCGTTCAGTACTGCGACGATTGTTTTTGCGGAGTTGTGGTGGCGCGAGCAGCAGCCACAGCAGGTGGGCTTGAGCATTTGATGTATATGCCTATATAGCTTTTGCTCTCGTTGTTCATGTTGTACTCGCCCGATGGTATTCACTGGACCATTACCACCACCACCGCCGCCGCCGCCGCCGCCACGCAATTCTCTACTTTGATAGAAGTTGTACATTGGTAGTAGTAGCAGTAGCAGTAGTGGTGGTAATGAAGTAGCGGACGAAAGCGAGGTGGTAAGGTAAATGGTAAAGGTAAATGTGGTGGCCTCCGTCCGTCCTTTGTTTCCTTTCCAAGGTGTTTAGCACACCGGGGTTGTGAACAGTGTTTGTCGCGAACAGCCCTGACCCCCTGGAAAAGGTTAATTGGGGAGATTCCCCCTTTGAGGGCCCTCGCAGCCGCCGCCTCTCCTGCTCAGGATGGTGGTCAGGTTGTCAAGTTGGGTTTTGGGTTGATGATTGATTTGAACGGTAAAGGACACAAACGCGCGTCCTGCTTCCCGGCTGGTGCTGCTGCTGCTGCTGCTGTAGTAAGGATGATGTTGGTTTACTCGCAGGTATGCTATGTCTGTTTGTCTGCCTGCTGTCTATCTGTTCGTGTCGGTCTTTGCAGGTTTTTATGTATTTTCGATGATCGCACTACACCGTGATGCCACAGTACTGATATAACGAATAATAAATATAACAGTAATGTTATTATTATTATTATTATTATTATTTTGTAACCACAGAGGCGGTGGCTGCTGCTGTTGCTGGCCTAAAGGTGACTTATATGTCGGTTGCTGTATTCGATCTCGGTGCACGGTGACACGAGAGGGTCCTGTGTTGCTGCGGCCTCTGCCAGGTGTGAGGCATTCAGGTGTGATGATGTTTTGAAGTGTGATGATGGTTTTGGCCTTGACCGAGTTTGGTGGTCGCCGAGTTTGGTGGTCGGCCGGGGCGTCGTGAGAAAGACCTGCATCAGGAAGTCCTGGCGGAGGAGGAGGAGATGGAGGTGGAGGAGGAGATGGATGGTGGCCATGGGGCTGTGATGTCGCGGAACGGTGCGATGTGTTAATATGGAGGAGGGCGCAAGGAGGGGACGAGGTGGTGGTGGTGTGCGGGTCGGGGAGCGCATGATGATGAGCGCTTGGATGGGGACGCGGTTGGTCGGGGGCGGGGTTGGGAAAGGAGCGGCGGGCGAAGGAGGAGGAGCTGGAGGGGTGTGGCGGAGGGAGGTGGCCTTCTTCGATTGAGGGAAAGGAGGAGATGAGGAGGGCCTGGCTACGTGCCCACGCGCCCACATGCGCATGAGGGTGAGAGTGAGGGTGAGGGCGCATTTCTTGACAATTTTGACGCAGGAGGGAGAAAGCTGCATGGCATCTTGTTCTCAAGGTTGTACGGGATTGCTCTGTAGTCGTACAGTACGACATGCTATGTTGTTTTTCGGTGTGCACATTCCTCATATGCAGAAACAAAACATACGATGCTGAGATCACAATCTGGATCTCCAAATAGCCTTCTTTTTCACTCATCGATGTGAAATGCTCGATTTTAAGGGTCGGGAGATTAGCTTGTACATACATATTAGGGTTGCACGCCGTCGGTCGGTCAGTATTAGGGGACTGTGGGCACCCCTCTCGCCCCTCCCCTCCCGCTCGCTTCGGCGGTCGTTCCCGTTGGGGTATATGCGGTTAGGTGCCCCCCCTGGCCAGTGTCACGCCCGGCGCAGTTATGCAACAGAAGCTTACTTACATACATACATGTGCATGTGTGTATTTCCGTCAATATTCTCCGCAAGGACTCCCTGTTACACGCCGAGCACACCACAGGAGCCCCACAGGGGCGGTAATGAACAAAGCCGAGGTGGAACAGGGAATTCGACGTACCGACGAAAGACAGCATAAAAAGCTGCCTCAAGAATACTGATAACCCTAGTACGGGCCGTACGGTCCCAAGTCAGCACGTTCAGTAGCGCTACGATGTTCCTTGAGAAGAAAAAAAGCTACTTCACGACTTATATAAAGGAGCTCTCCCGCTCCAGAAGCAAGCAACGCCCGTCCGTCGTATCTTTAGCAGAAAACCTCGGACCAGCGTGCAGAGACAACGGTGGAGCTGGATGCAGGGCCAAATCGGCAAGAGGGGCGGGAGCCTGGCCGCGCTCTTTACCCGGGGGCGCCGCTCCTTCGGGGGACCCGTGGACCAGCACCCTGGCAGCAAGGGACCGGAACCCGCCGACGAGGCGGCAGCGTCCCGTACAGTACGACGGGGATGCCCTGACGGCCTGGACCGCCTGCTGATCAGGTATCCAGCTACTTTGCCCATAACTGTTGGCATGTCGGGGACGATGAAGGTTCCTATTAAGAGAGCAGATGATAGATAGGCAATGATGCAGTGGTGGGGGTGGGGGTGGCGGTGGTGTGGATTGGGCCACATATGGTAATCCCATATGGTATCCCATGAAAGCAATGCATCGGGAAGGGGGAGCCGTGGCGGTGAAGGAAGGACCGATGCAGAGGCAGTGGGGGCCCTGTGGGCGAGTGTGAGAGGACCTTTTGGCGGTAATGGATGATGGGTTGAGAGTCGAGTACGGCCGGGCAGGGGAATAATGGCGAGAAGCGGATTGCCGGGAAGGGGTGTGTGTGTGGGGGGGGCCTGTACCTCACACCGCCGCATGCGCATGGCATTTTCGTTTGTTGGGTTTTGAAACATCTTGGACTGCATGCCGCACCCCGCGGTCAAATTCGGGTGAACGCGGGTACTTTTGCTTTGATACCACCAGAAGACTGAACAGCGCCAGATGCCAAGATGCGGGGTAATGTATACCTGTATCTGTACCTGTATCTGTACCTGTATCTGTACCTGTATCTGTATCTGTACCTGTATCTGTACCTGTATGTGTACCTGTATCTGGATCCCCCGGTGGGTGCTGGGGTGTTCAAAAAGGTGGGAGCAACGGTGTGTGTGTATGTATGTGTGTGCGTGTATGTGGGTGTCAGTTGCTGTTGCCGCCTCTGCTGACCTTTCACCATCGTTTTTTTACTTCTAGAACTTCTGCTCAGCCAAAAGTTAACACTCCGCAGCAGGAAGGAGGAAGGAGGAGGAGTAGACAAAAGACATCCATCCGGGCAGCGCTGCAACAGCTTTACCAAACTTGCCCAAACTAGCGTCGCCGCACTCCAGGGCTCAATAAGGGAATGAAATAAGAGGATGCATTTACATGTTGTCGTACCGGCCGTACCGTACCCGCCAGTACAGCTTGTGTTTTCCCCCTCCTGCAACGGACATCCTCCATCATGTGAGGCGCAACACACATCACATCCTTCTGCTGACCGCCGCCACAAAGACAACCATCATTTCCCATTTCCCATTTCCAAAACGTTCATTACTGCAATATAAAAGAATTTCCTGAAAGGACACTTTTTAAGAAAGAAACACACTTTGCGCGAGGAGACGTGAATACTGCCGCCAGGTAGCTTTGCCTACCACCTCTTTCTCCCACACCCTCCGCCCACACGCACCACCACCACCACCACCACCACCCTCGACCCACACTCCCCTACACTCGTTCCAGCCTCCACCTTCACCTTCCCCTCCGTCTCCTCCTCCCCCCCCCACAGGCGCCACTGTCCTCCCGCACTAGCTCCCGGGAGCCCGACTCTTGGAGCGGTACTCGGGTTTGAGTTCGTACTTGTCCTTGTTTGGGCCTCTCTTCTGCTGCGCCGCGATGCCCTCCAGGACCGCCTTGAGGTGCATGTGGGGCTGCCGGGTCTCGGTAATGAGGCCCTAAAGGTGGTGGGGGGGGTGGGGGGTGAAAGACGAAAGGTGGTGGGTGGGGGGGGAGGTCGAGGGTGTATTGGGTTGGTGCCGGGGTAACATATACCGTGGTAAGGTGGGTTGTGTGAGTACATGGGATTGGGGGGTGAGGGGGGTGGGGCGCGTGAGGGGGGTGAGAGGGGCCCCGACGGAGTGAGGGATGATAGGGTTGTGGTGTGACGGGTGTTAGGGTTTGAGCGGGGTGAGGGGGGGGGAGGACTGGAGAGGAGGAACCCCACCGCGATCCTGGCCGTGGGGTCGGGGGAGCGTGTTTTCTTCCCTCCCTCCCCTCCCTCCCCTCCCTCCCCTCCCTCCCCTCCCTCCCCTCCCTCCCCTC